GAAAGGGATTGATCTCGTGTTAGATTGCTCCCACTGTCTAGATTGTTCACTTGAATTTTGCACTCTCTCTCTCCCTCCCCTTTTGTGCCTTTTCAGTTGCGAGGCACTTTGTGTTGAGTACATCTACTTCCGTGCAGGCGACAGTGTGGAGGACGTCCGCCGGTTCGCAGATTCTTTGGAGCTCGCGACCCCGGTCCAGGTGGGCAGAGGGTGGAGGAGGCTCGGCCAATGTGTCGACTTGAGCACTTCTTGCGAGGCGGGGCTCGCCGGGGAGCTATCGGCGCGGCGCCTGGTGGTTGCATGGCTGCGCAAGGCCGGAAGAGAAGGGACAAGGGATGGGGAGAGTCCCTGATGCCACCCCCCGATGCAGGGCCTGCAGGACTCCTTCAACGCTTCAGCCGCACCGTTGCCGGAGTCCGAAACTCCTCAGATGACGGAGCTGCGGAGGACTGCGCAGTCTTGAGATGTCTTGAGATGTCTTGAGCCTCAAGTTGTCAAGCGCTGAGGACGGCCAAGAGGCTGATCGCCAACGAGCGGCCGGTCCTGGAGCTGGAGCTGCTCGCCTCGGAGAGGCACAACGAAAGCGAGTCACTCTCCCCTTTTCTGCGGGCGAAGTGTCCGAGTCTGAGGTTCTGTGCAGGTGCCGAGGCAGCGCTGGAAGCCGGTGGCGCCTCGCTGCAGAGCTTCGTCGCGGAGCAGTGGGACGACGAGACGGGGTGGATGGGTGCGGGGTAGAAAAATGCAGCCGGATGCTGTAGGCGCTTGCCGTCCTCTATAGGCAGTGATGGCGATTGCGATTCGCCTAGCAAGGCTAGGCTGCGGCTGCGGCTTTCTGACGCTGAGCCTTGCATGCTGCGGTGCCGAGGCCCGTGAGGCCGCGCCATGTAGGGCCACAGGTGCTTTTCAGTCCTTTCGAAGGTCACCGCCGCAGACAATAGCCGGAAGCTTGCTGGCCTGTAGCAAACCTGCGGTCTCAGTGCGAATGCAGCTTAGACCCGGCGGCTCTTGCACTTTGTGATGCCAGCGCTTCCAAAGCGAAGGCGGATGGCAGGCTTGTCATAGGACAGACAGCACATGCCAGAAGATCACGTCGCCTCCGCCTGTCACAGGTTTGCGTCCGGAGGCAAAGTCTTTCTCCGACGCGACTCGGCTCGGAGCTGCGCGAGCTGAGGTCTGCGGAGACTCTTTCTGTTCGATGCATGGGAGCATGTGGAAGCTCTTTGAGGCCTGGACTGGACCGACGCGCACTCGTGCGCAAAGTTGCTGGAGGCCAGGGAGGGTCTTACGTCTTACGATGTTTCCTGCGCAGGCGGTCCTGCTGCTTTGCAGCTTTGCCAATTTGCTTTGCAGAGGGAGGCTCAAAGCAGTCTCGACGATCTTCCTCTGCTGCCATGAGCTATGCGGGTCTAGACGAAAACGGTGCGACCTCCATCCGGGCAGCGCCCCGGCCAGGCGATGACGGAAGTTGCTGCTGTCAATACTCGTAGCCTCGCTTCTCAAGGAAATCAAACTTCGCATACCGCGGATCAACGAGGTATCGCATGTCCGGGAGGCCGCTTGTGGCTTGTGAAGCGCCCAGGGCCAGTAAGGTAGTAAGGAAGCGCTCGCTGACTCAGGCGCGGAGGCTCCTGCGACAGGAGCTTGGAGGTTGCGAGGCACTGCGGGCGGAATTGGTGAACGCTGGCTTCGTGGAGGATGGCTCAGGACAGTCTCAGGACGATTGCTTTTGAGGCCATGGGCCGGGAGGCCCGGGGCTTTGGAAGGAGAGCTCACGGGGGGACTGAGTCCCTTGAACGTCTTCGCTCGCGCAGCGCGAGGGCTCGGGCCTCGGGCCCCTCGGGCCCCAGTAGGGCCTCGGACCCGCCAGTAGGGCCTTTTGAAAGCCGTGCGGGAAGCCTAGGCTTCTGAAGCAGCCGAACATGGAGTGCGAGCAAGAGGCCCTGGGAGACTTCAAGAAGCGACTCGGAGAAGAAAGGGAGGCAACGGCCACACGAAGGGTGAAAGCTGTCGAGGAAGTTCCTCGTTTGCTGCAATCGGGCTGAGAATGACTTGCACTGGGAATCTCGGCCGAGTTCGGGTGCGGGTGCCACTGTCAAGTCTTGGCTCTGCAGTCCTCATCCCAGGATTCTGAAGATCCGCAATGGGTCAGACGAGCTTCCATGTCAAGACGGCATCGGTTTCTCACGACCAAGGACGGAAGTAGAGATGTCGCGCTAGAGGATTAGGCAGCAGAGGAAAGCAGCACTTTGGTTTGCTGCGGTGTAGGACGTGCGTTGGCAGTGGTGGCTGCCTCAGCTCAACCAGGGCCAGGTGATAGAACTAGCTCCGTTCAGAGCTATGAAGACACACTCCAGCGGTATCAAGCGCGGAGCTGAGGTTTAACCCGCTTGTATTCGGGATGGTCTGCGAAATTGGAGAAGGATGCGATGTTCGCGAAGCTCTTCGGGAAGCAGAGCAGATGAAGTCTGCTGCTCTCCACTTTGCGAAGCATTGCCCGGGCTGGCCAAGAGATGCGAAAGATGTCGGCCTCTATGTGAACATCTTCGGCCACAACAACGTCAATTCACTGTTCATACACATCCTTGACCTGACTGTCACCGGACCAAGCTTCGCTGCTTCTCGGTTGCATGACCGAAGTGACACGAACATCCGACACGAACTGCTGGCGCGTGTCTTGCTGCAGCCTCGCACTTGTGCATCTGCTTGCCATGATTGCACTATGGGCCAAGGCAGACGAACAACCCTTCGTCAAGCCAGCACAACTGCCCAGCAAGCCCAAGCACTTAAAACTCGTACACCACTTTGGAAGCAGCAGACCCTGGAGGAGGGAGCGGCCATTTGCAGTCGACTGGCTGTCACTAGCTCCCCCGCCCCTGCTCTCAGCGCGACGTCCCAGCAGTTGACGTCGGCCATGCTGCTGTCGGACGAAGTCAAAAGCATGGGGCGCAGGGGGTGGGAGACCGCAGAATCGGATTTGCAGAACATGCGCCCTTTTTCAGCATCATCCCGATTATTCCGCATTCTCGGGACAAATTTCGGTTTGCGTTTTCCCAGCGGTATTTACAGCATTTCGCTGTGCTTTCCTAACCATCCCCAACGCCCGCGGCCAGCATCATGAGCGTCAGCTGCCCCTCTTCGGCGGCCAGACCGCCTGATGCTCATGATGCTCGCCCGCGGGGGCCAGCATCATTAGCATCAGCTGCTCTCCTTGTTCTCCGGCTGGTGACCTGCTGCTCATGATGCACGCCGGCGCCCCCTACATCCCAAGCATTACGGCATCGCCTATTGCTGTGATTGATTGCAAATGCTGGTCCTATCCACGCCACCGACGACATTGACTCAGGAAGGAGTATGACGGAATGGACCGCTTCCAAATAATCAAGTTTGCATGAGATCTCTATCCCCGACAAGCTTTCGCTCGGGGCTGTCGAGGGAGGGAAGTGAAGCCTCAACATTCTGATTGCGTGTAGCCTTCGACAGAGTTGCAAACCACTGCAACTGCGAATGGAGAACATGCAAATTCAGAAAAGGTCAACTTCGCCCGGTCTGTCTGACTGTCAAGCAAATCCTTTGCCAGTTGCCATGCTGTGCGGGTTGTCGTGGCTAGTCACCCTCTCTTGGAGCTCTAGCATCCTCCTGTTTGTAGAACAGCCGGTCTGCAAGTTTCATCTCGGAACAACACACAAAAAGATGTCATCGTTTACTTACTTTATTTTTTAATTTCATTTTTTTCTGCACGGCCGCGGTGCGAAGAACACCAGCGGTATCTTCAAGAATTGGGGGCATCGGTGCGGCGTGTGAAGTCTAATCTTGGAATGGACGACGGCCCAACGTCTAACTCTCTCAGGCTCAGGATCTCGGTTGCTTTGGGCCCGGATGGTTACGGTGAGATGCTCAGGCTAAACATGTATTCTGATCGACTGGTTTGGTGTCCAAGGCGCAGACCTACAAGAACTGCTCCCTGGATCACCAAAGCAGCTGTTGCGGTTTTTGTAAACTGTCGAACCCAAAATCTCTGCACCGTTGGGCCACTCTCTGAGGCCCCTTGGACGCTGTGATCAAAGTACTTCGAGAAGAAGCCCAGGACTACACGATGCCGCGAGTGGTGTCACTGGCTGGAGAGCGCAAAGCCCGTTACAGCCTCGACGCATTGAGTGGAGGATTTCGGGGCACTGGTGGTGCTACGAGCCTGAAGGAAGAGCTGGTGGAACGTGTTCCCGTGCTCTGCGACTCGGGAAGCTTCCGCGAAGTTCGACGTATCTTTCGCGAGGACTGCGGTGGCTGTAAGGCTCTGAAACCTGAGCTGATTCACGCGGGCTTCATCGATGCAGCCACCGGCTTGTTGACCACCGGAACGAAGCCTTTCAACCTCTTTGCAAGAATCGCCGCTGGGGAGATGGAGCAGCCAGGCACGGACACTGTTGCTTGTAGGTTCTTGAGCGGCTTCTCTTAAGCTGCAAATGCAGCCTGTAGATGCCAGCACCTCTGTTCTATTGCAGACTGCGTCGTTCTCGATGACCAAAAAGGCCCATTTAGTAATCAATCACACTGTGACACTGTTCTCAGGCATGGCAGCGGAGCAAGCTGCATTGCAAGACTTCTCGAGTTCTGTTTGCGTTTGTCGCAACAAGCCGGAGAATGATGCACACTGGGATTCAGAAGCGGCGGAGTGGGTTGGTAAGGCGTCCATGTCAGCGAGACACCGGTTTTTAACGACGAAAGACCTGCGATGGACTTTCTTCAACGCACTGACGCTGGGCATGAGCGACAAAGATGGGGACACGGACCGCCCGGACCCGACAAGCTTGATGGAGTCCATCGAGCTCCTTGAGACGTTGAAGGCCGCCGCTTTGGCGTACGTGACGAACATGCAGGGCTGGTCCGACAAGATCGGGCTCTACTTCCACGTCTTTGGCCACAACTCCGTTAACTCGCTCCACTTGCATGTCGTGGACATGAGCTCTGTGGGGCCAACATTTCACAAGATGAGCTACAAGAATTGCCCTATCAACGCGGTGTTGAAGGTATTGCGGGAAGAGCTCGCCACCGTCCAGGCAGCCGAGCGTCCCAAACTGCAGCCAAAGACAGCTGCCGTTGAGGAGTCTCAGCAAGCACAGGAGGCCGTCCTAGAGCTCAACGTGGCTGGCGAGGTAGTTGCCGTGTCTGTGGCAACTCTTCGTCGATCTCCGCCGAAGTCGTTTCTCAAAGCTTTGGTCGACGGTGTGGACAATCCCATGCTTGTCCGTGCTGCCTGGCTTCACAGAGCAGAAGTGGCCACGGGAGCCGCCCTTTGCAGTTGCACACAGGTGTCCAAATCATGCATGTTGTCCAGGACAGCCGCGGTCGGATCTTCCTCGACTTTCCGCCAGATGCCTTCAAGCGCATTCTCAACCACCTTCGCATGCAGCACTTGAAGCCACACTCGACTCTGTTGTGCCCTGACTTGGACGGCTCAGCTGCAATTTTGCTGCCCCACTCTTGCGTGTCGAAGACTCCAAGGTGTGCAGATGAGGACGTGGCCGGTTCGTTGTTCTCGTATGCTTCGCAGGGGTGCCGCATGCCTTTGAGGAGACCCGTCGGCTAGCAAAGTCCCTTGGCTTGGCCGCACGGTGCGAGCCGAACTACTACTTGCTCTGCAGGGGCCCTAATTGGCAGAATCGGCATTGCACGTTGGTGGCAGTGTCCCGTTGCAAAGGTGCTACCCTCGGGGTCGCTGCTCTTTGTCTCGTCTTCTGCAGGAAGTGAGGCTCAGCATCGCTCCACTCTCCGCAGTCCTCGAGCTGATCGCGCCTCCACGCTCCATGTGCTCCCTGCTTTGCTGCTTCCCCGAGCCCGACCAAAGTGACGCCTTCACCGCGCCGGCCCGACTCACGTCGTCGTGCGTAGTGGGCTGCTGCAGCCTTGAGATGGCTGTGGCACCCTTGGATTCTAGATCCGAGGCGAGACGCCGGGAGTAAAAGTTGCTTTGCAAAGCAGTCCAGGAATGACGGTTCAGAGGTGGGCGTGGCGGGGGGTGGGGTGGGCGGGTGATGATGGGTGGGTGGTGGGTATGACTCGCGGTTTCAAATCAAGGCACTTTTGCGGCGATTTTGCATGCTGCGTCGCCAGGAGCGCGGACCCTTTGACTTAGTCGTTGCCGCAGACTGCGTGATGGTGGCCCCGGCGGCATTTCAGAGCTGGCGATGAGAGGGTAAACTAACGCCTCAGAAACTTGTATCGCTCATCATAAGTGCCGACCTGAGAGCAACAAATTACAACCGTTCCGTATCTCGTGGAACATTGACAGAGGTACTGGTTCCCTTGCCCTAGGCTTGGCTGGCCTTAAGAACCGAGCTCATGCCCAAAGCTCTCAGCTCAAGTAAGTCTTTGTGGTCTGGGGAAGATGTTTGAGCAGCAGCAGCATCAGCACCCCAGAACACGGGCAAACCAAGCAACCGAGGCGCTGCCGCCGTCGAGTGCTGAGCTGTGCTATTGCGGGAGCTTACATTAGGGCTTAAATGCCCCATGTCACATCCCACGATTTAGGTGCGGCCCCATGTGGTCGGAAACCCAAGCGGACATGACATAATTTCCTTCACTTGATGAAGCATTGTCCGAGGCGGGCGATGGGTGCAGCAGCCTGTCCGCCTGATGCATTGCCTGGGACACAGCTCCGGATGGGACGGAACAAATTGTTTTAAACTCTAACCGTCCACTAAAAGATAACATGGATACATGCATACATGCATACATGCAAACACACATACTTTCACTTTCACTTTCCGTGCGGCGAAGTCGATACTTTGCTACGTAAAGGTCGACAGGCCTAGTTGCCCGGCTAAGCCGTGCTACGCACATCCTCCGCCCTCCGATCGTCCCCGGTACACATACCCAAGAGCGGGACGGGCCATTAACATTTCTGATAAAAAGAACAAATACATGTCTCTCCGAAGACCGTGAGTCACACACTCGAGACAATCCGTGCCGGACTGCCATCATCAGCCAAAGCAAAATCATGCGACCTATCATTACACAATAAGGCTTCTGTTTGGGGCTTTGCCCAAGGGAATCACCACCGAATTAAGCCGATACGGTATGCCGCGACATGACATGTCCCCATCAAAGCAAGGGATATCCACGAAAATGTTCGGGCTGATCCCATACCCACGTTTTGTCGCAAACTTGCCATCGGCTTCAGAATGAAATCTGCAAGCTTGTAGCAACATTGCAGCAGGAGGCAGCGCAACTGCATGAAGCTGCTCCTGTTGTTGCCATCTGTCAAGCAGGGCCTGAGTCGTGACTTCACAACCACCATCATCTCCAACATTACCGGGTGATGGCAACAGCAACAAGACGGATTGACCCGCAATCGTGACTCTCATGGTGGACTTAAGATGTTCTCTGGCTTGCCAAACAGTTTCGAGGCTTGGGCTCTTCGACAGGGTGCCGCGAAACAGGAATTGTAAAAACTGAGCTGCATCCTGTTGTTGCGCGGGTCTGGCCCAACCTCGCATGAGGGCCGCCCAAATCGGGTGGGTCCAGAGATGAACAACCATGGCGTTGGATCTTTCATCAGACCCCTAATGAACTCGCAGCAACGATCCTCAAACACCATGGAGAAAGACCCCAGCGGGCAGGCCGAGGGAATCAATACCCGTGGGGTGGCATTGGAGTAGCAAAAATGGCCTCGGTTGCCTATCTCCATGCCTCTCACTTCGAGACTGCCGCAAGCCTCTTTGCCAATGCGCTCCGATGGAGTCGTTCGTGACGAAGGTAGCATCCCGGCCACATCCAGGCTGCTGACTGGCTCAGGCGGTGCAGCAGGCTCCACGCCTCTTGTGCTTCGGATGTCAATGTGCTCATCCCGATCTCGAGGAACATCCCCAGCGTCGGCGAGGTGTACTCCTCGCTGAGTTTCCACCACGATGTCCTGTGAGCTCAGGACCACAATCTTCTCCGGCTGCAGTGCTTCCACCCTGGTGTCCAGAACATGTTGTTTGGACCTTGGCATTCGCTTCCACCGGCAGGCCCATCTCCTGGGCCTTGGATCGGGACGATGGGCTGGCCAGCATGTGATTGAAGCGGGACTTGACCGTCTCGATGAAGTCCGATGAAGTGCTGAAGCATGACCACTCGCATCGGGTCCTTTAGTTGTTCCGGACTCTCGGCCTTGGTCTGATGCTACTTCTCCCCGATCACGTACAAGGTGTGGGCGAGGCTGTCCTGTCCTTGGGTCTGGATGAAGAGAACGAAGGCGGTGTCCTGGCGGCTTTTGTTCAACTGAACTACTTGAGCTCCGCCAGATGCTTGGCCTGGGTGTCCTCGTTGCGCTGGTCCCGCTCTGGCCGGTGTGGCTCCCGGGTCGTGTCGTCCTGGGGACGTCTGTTGGCCCACTCGTTGCCGTTTCAGGAATTGCTGGAGGGTGTTCACGTTGACCACGGCTGTCGTCTGTCTTTGACTCCATTTGGGGCGCCCTTGGGTCCCAGCTTGGGCCACTTCGGCGGCCTTGTGTCCAGCTCTTCCTCGTGGTCCTCCAAGTCCATGGCGAAGGAGTCCAGGAGGTTCATGGCCGGGAGGAGGGCCAAGGACTTGAGCATGTGGAGGGCCTGGGTGGCTTTCCATGAAGTTGGAGAAACGTCGGGCGCAAAAATCAAACTAAACCTTGAACTTAAAAATATTCAGTAAACACTAGACTTAGAAGCTTCGGGAGCCAGAGGTATAGTGAACAAAGATTTGTTTTCCAGAGACGCAACAACCAAGGGACACGAACACATATTAGGGACAAGGCGGTTGACTTGAACAGGAGACAACCTGGGGGTGTTCCATTTTGGTGTTTATATATATATATATAGAATTTATCTGTTTATTTTTTATTTATTTGTATTTAGATGTATATTCATATGCATACTTCAATGTATATTTACATTAAGTAAATCTATCTATATATATATATATATATATACTTACTTTTCTACTTATATTCAATATAGTTATACTTATATTTAATACATGTTTATTCATATTAATAATTAATACTTATATAAATATATGTAAAAGTATTTCTATTTATATTTATAGTTGTATTTATATCTATCTATTTATGTATCATATATATATATATATATTCACATATATGCTATCCCCCCTCATGTACCCATGCCTTCTGCTTGAATCATGTGCGAAGACTCACGGTAATCGCTACTTTACTTTGTATGGTCGCATAGCTCCTCTTTGCTTGCAGTGCGCTCTACACCTACGAAAAAGTTCATGTGATCCATACAAACGCAACGCAAGGACCCTCTTTATGCTGTAGGTACAAGCCCTAATTTCCTGTGTGTTGTTGTGTGAAGAGAGCCGAAAGACAAACGAAAGAATGAGTGCGTGCTTTCGCTCCTCTCACAACAAAAAACTGGAAAAACATTAGCCCTACATGAAATAAGCCACAATCAAAGGGCAAGAACACATGACAGCGGTTAGTTCACAGATCACTGGTGCAGCGAATAATCGGAGGAACGGTGGAAATGAAGTGAATAATTTCGTGGGTGTTTTGTTCTATTTAAATGCAACGAACAGACAAAAACCATTACATCTACTCGATGTCTTATTATAAAATATTTTAAAATGGAATGACATTGAAAGACTTC